CAAACTGCCCAAAATATAATGAACTTGCCTACATGTATCGTCATGTGCATGAGTTGAATGTTTGGTTCTTTTTTTCCATTTCATTTTTTTTGGGAGAGGGTTGGTGTTAGGATTTGTAGTAAATACCATCTAGTTGTAAATTAGAATTTTCTGAAACTATAACAGCGTACTGCCACAATGATAATTTGTAGATTGATGAGTGGAAAATCATCCAAGGGATAGGATTAGAGTAAATACGCAAGGAGGTTAGAAGTAGCTAAAGATTAAAATGATGGGGTAATGGTTGAGATAGTTTTGGATTGTGCAATGGAGACCAATTGTACTCACAGGTTCATAGTTTACGAGAAAGAATACTACAGGTAGGCCTAAATGGACTTGAGTCCAATTAAAAAGATAATATTAGTTTTACCTTACCAACAAGATGGCCGCTCAAGTAGCTGAATGGAGAAAAATGAGTAATGTAGCTGATTTCAAAAGTTTGGAGATAGGAGTTTTGTTTTTATTTGATCTCAGGAATGAACCGTGGATAATGACCACAGCGGTTAAAGGAAATTAGTCTCGAGTCTTGACTGACTGTTCTTGATATCTCCATTTCCAATTTCTATTCTTGGGAATATGAAAGAAACATCTTTCTTCCAAGTAAGGTACTATTCTCTCACTTTATTTTGCACTCTTCCTTGCCTCATTCTATATCTTTAAGTTGGGATTATGAAGTAGAATATATTTCTGGCAAATTTAATATTACTTCTTGTGATATAAGAGATTTTTTTTGATAAACTTGTACATTTGGTTACAGGATTGTCAACCACAACTACTGTACTTATGTGACCAGACTGTAATCATACTGTCTGTATACCTTCTGACTATTAATGGTTACTTGGCAATCTTTTTCTCTTATTCTTTTAATCATAGCTAGTAGCGGACTGATGAAGACATGGTTTATAGCCTTCCTCCGGAGAGCTGTTTTCTTGGGAAGCATATGTATATGACACTGTTCTGTTCACTGAGACATAGCCATAAGATATATATTCTCTGCTCTACCTTACATCGCTTCCTGTTTGGCAAGCTCTCAAAATTGGACTAGGTTCAAACCTGGTTCAATTTTGTGAAGAATTCAGTTAGGGAAAAACTGGGCCAAAGCTGGCCCAGTTTTTCCTGGGCCAAAAAGGGGCCAGTATACTGGTTCTATTTTGATCCACCTCCCCCTTGGATCAAAATAGAATCAGTTTAACTTTAAAAGTCGGCCATGATCAGTCCTGGCCTATTTTTGTGCAATTTCCCAATATATTCATCTGTTTCACTTCTTGGCCTATTAGTTTATGAAAATAAGTATATTCTCATTTCAAATTAACCATATGATCTGTGTTATTTTCTTCTCTAGGTTGCAAATGCAAATGTTTCTCTTAAACGATTGGAGGAACTATTATTGTCTGAAGATAGGATACTTTTGCCAAACCCACCTCTTGATCCAGAGCTTCCAGCGATCTCAATAAAAAATGGCTTTTTTTCATGGGATTCGAAGGTCTATTTTTATATCCTGTTTTCCTATTTTGAGTTCTCTCAAGTTCATCATTTTTAGTCATATCATATGTAGTTGTTATATATGGATTGTGTATTTACTTTTGCCCATTTGATTTTCAGTACATTTTTTTCTGCTGTTAATCTAACATTTAGTCAGTTGCAAATTTAAGCATGTTAGCATTCTCAGGTGGACCCTCTTTATGGAATGTACTTTTTTTTGCATTAAGTTATATTGATGTTTATTCATATTAAATAATCATTCCTAGTAACACTAGTCTTTCCACATTAGAATCATGTCTTGACATGATTCATCTGAATTTTGATGCTGTTATTTCTCATTTCGACCAGAACTGTTTATGTTGCTCTTTCTTCGCTTGCTTTATTCTCAACACACCCAAGAAGTTTGTACTTGGGCTTGATGGTATGGTCCGCTTTTACAGGCATGTGCGTACCAAAATGACCTCTAGTCTGAAGAAATATATTATGCTATTTTGACTGAGGAAAAAGGTCATTTCATTTGACTTAAAAAGATGAATGGAGGAAAAATTATTCTAAAATGGTTGGTTCAAAAGAATAGCAATAACACTCTTACTAGCGATACCGTGTATGGGCAACGGATGTTACTATCCTGATTCATGATAAAACCTGAGCTTGGTGATTTTGTCCCGGGACAGACCCGGTGGAATAGGAATGTGGGCCTAGCATGGCCAGTGAACATCCATAATTGCTTTCCGAAGAACTTGCATACCCTTTCATTTACTAATATCCCCATCTGCATTCCAATAGCCAAAACTTCAGGCTCTTTTTTTTATATCCATGTAGGTTCTTTTATATGATTTGTTGACACAGACACAAAGTCATGCAAGTCATGCTCTGCTGCGATCAACTTGCTTCTGACTTGCAAGTCCTAAATTTGGACTTGATGCAGCTGGATGTGTGTTTTTCTAAATATATGTAATATGATTAGGTATATTTTGTGGGTACTTGGGTTGTTAATCAGATAAAAAGGATCTAAAACAGTAAAATGATCTATTAGACAATAAGTTTTTTTCCCCAAGGGAGCAATAACACACTTCATCTCATACATTTTTTTAGTGAAGGTTTTCACATCTGTAACTAAAAATAAATTGTCATGCTTGAGAATTTCTCACAATAAATCAAAAAGTTATCTTTTCTGCATCTAATAGATCTACTGATTTTAATTGATTTTTAAGCTCTTTATTTCACTGAACTGAATAAATAGATCCTTAAAGTTGAATTTCTTATTTGCATGTTTAGGCATGGCGTCTTGTATTAATTGCTTAATGTTTCTTAGTTGTAAGTTTTGTTTACTGTCTAGAAAATAGCTAAAAGTTTACACAATTACAGGAAGAGAGACCCACATTATCAGATATCAATTTGGATATACCCGTCGGTAGCTTGGTTGCCATTGTTGGAAGTACTGGAGAAGGGAAAACATCACTTATATCAGCAATGATTGGAGAGCTACCACCAAAATCAGAATCAAGCACAGATGTTAGTATTAGAGGAACTGTTGCCTATGTTCCTCAAGTTTCATGGATTTTCAATGCAACAGTAAGTTTCATTGTCCTTTACTCCTCAATCCAAATTGTTCTCTACTGTCCAATGTTCTGTTCAATGTTCTGGTAATTGCCAGGTACGGGATAATATACTGTTTGGATCTCCTTTTCAACCGGTACGCTATGATGAGGTCATAAAAGTGACTGCACTCCAGCATGATCTAGATTTGCTTCCAGTGAGTGCATAATCTTTAAGATGGAGCCATATAAAATATACCTATTGACATCACCATAGTACTAATTTCACTTCTTTCTTTTTTGAAAACCAAGTTGATTAATTTTAATAGTTCACTGAATTTACTTACCTATTCACTTGTTTATCAGGGCGGCGATCTCACAGAGATTGGTGAAAGGGGAGTGAATATTAGTGGTGGACAAAAGCAAAGGATTTCCATGGCAAGAGCTGTGTATTCTGATTCTGATGTATATATATTTGATGATCCTTTGAGCGCACTAGATGCTCATGTTGGTCGACAGGTATTATTGTTATTAGTGCATTTGTTGAGAACTATGCTACAAACGTATTTCTTTATTTAATTTTTCTTGTGGTAAAAGGAAATACTCTGCATGTTTCACAGTTGTTGACAAAGAGTGTGCGAATGGACTATCCCAGACCATCTTCTGAATGCTATAGCCAAACTATATCTGAAAATCTGTCTCATGCACTATCAAATGAATATTGAACATGGCAAACTTCATTCCATAAAGCTAAACGTTAGAATTTCAATGATGACCTCGTAAATGATGCCTGTCCTACGCTTTTGGATGTCTCTTTGTATCTAGAAGTAATCTCATTTTACATGATCCATGTAAAATCTTTTTGCTGTTCTCTAAATGGTTAATGGGTGTGGAAATTTCAGTTCATATATTTTGAACATATCTGATTTGGTATTTGCATGAATTTCTGTCACCAACTTACAAGTCTTGGGACCATATAGTTGTTTCTAATAATCAGTGCTCTCATTAGTCATTACCTTTGTTTAGTTGTGTGAGTTCAAAACTTTGTCCACTGACTAATTAGAAAACTATGGTGATCTTATAATTGATTTATCTTTTCACACGTGTCACCAGTGCACTCCTAATGAGCTAATTATATGCAGTGAGGCATATTCTCCTGTTTGAAATAACTTATGTAGCTATGTGAAGTACTGGTACTTATATTTTCCTGGTCCTTGAAAAGGGCTGTAATTGAGTGTCATCCATAACCAGCTCATTGCAGCATGATCATAGTTATTGTCTAATGACTGTAATTTCCTGAGCTTGACCTTTTGGTTTAGGATGTAAGCAGTGGCTCAGACTTTCCTCTTGAGGAGATATTCAAGACTGACCTTCTCGATATAGTAATAAGGACAAGTTTTCCAAATTCAGAATATTACTTCCAACAAAATTGAAGGAAAAATTCCCCAGTTTTAGCACCTAGCTCCTCACTAATGGCCACCAAATGAGGTGAAAGGCGGATCAACCACATCATTTTGTGATGTTAGTTTGTGCTATTTGTTACTTCTGCATATACGCAATATCTCTTCTATCACATAATGCTTCATGGAATGAAGAATCCCACCAAACCATTGTGGTGGTGGCTACTTACTGTAGGTGCTATTTTATTGTATTAGATGGGGATTTCATCTCATGAGGACGTGTCATAGGTAGTGTGTGACTGTCACAATTCAGTGACTGGTGCATATCAGGATTCAGATGTGCTATTGAGATGTTAGGGAACTAGAGAACTGATCTAACAGTTTTGAGAGAGGACCCTATGAAAAGTTAGCAGTTTAGCATGCATAAATCAGAGCATTACTAGGATGAGTAATCTCATGGAAAGCCCTTGCTCTGGTTGTTATAGTAAATATATGACCCCTACATTAAGCATAATGTTCTTGCGTAATAATAGCTGAGAAGTACCACAACTAACGCTGAGGTGAGCACCAGCCATGCAAACTAAAAGCTTTTAAGATATATCTAGGAGATTGTCAAAGTGTAGCAGGACTACCTGGCCGTAGTTATGTGAAATAGAGGTTTAACAAGTAGGTAAAGAAGTGTAAGTTAAAATTGACTTGTACTACATATTACATAAGTTTCAACAAAGCTCTAAAACATGGTTTCATTATGTGTACGGCCTGATATCAGGTAGTGATTAATCGAATTATGCTTTCTGAAAATATATATATATATTATATATATATATATATATATATATATATATGAGGAAACTGGAGGTGCACTGGCAGCGCCTCCGAAATCGTGCGCTGCAGGGGTTTTTTTTTGCCAAAAACCCTGCGATTTCAGCCCCCCCGACCCCAAATATATTTCGGTTACCGATTTCTCTCTCTCCTCCAAAATTCCTGAATCCCTCCCAAAATTCCTCAATCCCTCTCCCCAAAATTCTTCAATCCCTCTCCCCCCTTCCCACGATTCGAGCCCCAAACCCCAACCACGATTCGAGCCCCAAATCCTCCGCCACGACAACTCCTTCGACCGCAGTGAGATCTCCCCACAGACCTTACCCTCTCCCCTCCTCTTTACAGATCTCCCCCTTTCCCACGATTCGAGCCCCAAATCCTTCGCCTTTTTTCTGGTCGTCATCACTCCCGAGAACCATTGGACTCGTCGCCATCACTGGAGGCCGTCGAGCTGCTGATCTCGCCGTCTGGAGGCCGTCGAGCTGCTGATCTCAGGTAACTCAGCTCACTCGTTTTCCAATCTCTACAATTTCTTCCCCTTTCTAAGCTTCCAATCTCTACGATTCTTCATTGGTATTTGGGTTTTCTGCCTAATTTATGTTTGGAGTGACATTAGAAGCTTAGAAACACTACTTCCTTGTCGATCATTACGAAATAGCTGCATCTACTTTAAGTAAGATTGTAGTGTAGTTTTCTACCTAATTTTTATTCCGCAGATTAGTACCTCTGTCCGCCCCCCTTCCTCCGGCGCGAACCCAAATCCTCCGACGCGATCCCGACCTCTCTCCGCCCCCTTTCCTCAATTCTCTTCAGCGATTCCTAAGGAACATGACAGACTTTGTGTTAAGACTCTTAAAATCTTCATGGGCTTCACTTAAGCGACGATGAGTTACTGCTTTTTCATATTGTGTCACAAACTCGTGTAATTGAGTCTGTGAGTTAACATACCCATCAAAAAATACATTAATACTTTCACTCCTTTGGCTTGATCTTATTCCAGCAAAAAAAATATTCTTCAGATAACACAACACCAAGTGATCTCGGCATTTGTAAATTGTTTGCAACCATCCCTCACCTTCTTCATTTATATCAAACTTCTCTTTCATCTCAACCCAATATCCTTCACATTGTTTAATTGAAGAACTATTATGCCACAAGCCCCAGTACATTTGAAACTGTTCACCATAACGAGATATCAAAGTAGGCAAATGATCAATAATATGCTTTTGCATGTGCCAATAGCAATAACGGTGTCTTATCGTTGGAAACACTGAGTGAATAGCATTACACATTGCTCTATCCTGATCTGTTATAATAGCACTTGGTTCAATGCCATGCATGTATTTCAGTCATTCTTCAAATAACCAAACAAATGTATCTTCCTGTTCATCGGCTAATAATGCACAACCAAGTAAAGTGGACTGCCTATGTTGATTTACACCAGTAAATGGAGCAAACGGACGACTGAACTTATTAGTTCTGTATGTCACATCAAACACAATAACATCACTGAATTTTAAATAAGATGCTCTTGATCTTCCATCGGTCCAGAAAACACTCCTCATTTGTCCACTACCGTCTATTTCTATTGCAAAATAAAATTCTGGATCATTAGCTGTCGCATTCTGAAAATGTCGAATGATAGATATGCATTCATGACCAATATTATTGACTCTTTGGGTTTTGATATGATCAATGCATTGTTGTGATGTCACTAATTCACCTTCTCTTCCATTAGTTGCATTGATGACACGAGAAATAGTGGAAGGAGACATACCTTCTTCTCGCAAACTATCAATAAGTTTTTTACATCTTTGAGTTTTATGGAATTGTTGATGTGATCTGTGTATTTTTGCTTTGTCTGGACTACTCAGCACATGATTTGTATGTTCTTCAATAAACCCCGTGACTTCCCACGATTTGTCCTCCAATAATTTAATTCGCATCATTGCCTTACATCCCACTCGGGTCTCTCGCCGAACTGGATTTTCTATCTTGTCTCTTTTAGGTCTATGACCCTCCTTATCACAAACAAACTTTCTGTCTACCACTTCTCTAGTCTTACACGAGTAATTTACCGTGCTCTTTCTTATTCCAAAACCCATCAACAATGCATAAGAGTTATAATAGTTATAACCTTCTTCATAACTATTAAACTTTATTCCTAGTAGTGGTTTAGGAGCATTTACAGTATTGCCCGCAATTTCACTTCCAATAGCACTTGATTCTCCTATTCCAAACTCTACACTAAATTTGTTTCCTCCATTCCAGAAAATAACCAAACCTAATACAACAAAGAAGATTGAATTACAACCAGAAAAAATATGTGTTCACATTCCAAACCAAACTAAAAAATATGTATTTACAGTATGGTCACATGCTCTTTGATGATAATGCAAGCAAAACTTTCAAGTGAGAAAGTTGCTGAAGATTAAAAAGATGCATCAACCATAGTCTTATTTATACATAAACTAGGCGTGTCCTCAAAGCGATGGCTAACTTGAAGTTACAGAGCTCTCATAAAGAATGAACTGTAACTAAGATATTTTATCAGGACTCACGTGTGCAACAATTTCTTCAAAAAGAAAAAAAAACTAAAAAATTGATGGTTACATTAAGAAATGATTTTGAATTGGATTGTTGTATCCACATACATATAAGTTTGAAAAATGTTTGCTAGCAAAAAAGGAACTAGAAACTGAAATGACGTTTTAAAAATTGCTAGGCAAAAAAGGAACTAGAAACTGAAATGACGTTTTAAAGTAGATGCAGATATTTCGTAATGAGCGACAAGGAAGTAGTGTTTCTAAGCTTCTAATGTCACTCCAAACATAAATTAGGCAGAAAACCCAAATACCAATGAATAATCGTTCACCAATTCAAATTAAACGATCACTAATTACAATTTGCCCTAAACCTAATACTGCACTTAGGTTTACCCTTTAAGAAATCAATAATAGAGCAAAACATGGACACCAAATACCAATGAAAACTGCACTTAGGTTTACCCTTTAAGAAATCAATAATAGAGCAAAACATGGACACCAAATACCAATGAAAACCAAATACATAACTCAATTGCGAATTTTATGAGATTTTTAGAGATAGAAAGGGGAAGAAATTGTAGAGATTGGAAAACGAGTGAGCTGAGTTACCTGAGATCAGCAGCTCGACGGCCTCCATTGATGGCGACAAGTCCGATGGTTCTCGGGAGTGATGGCGACCAGAAAAAAGGCGAATGATTTGGGGCTCGAATCGTGGGAAGGGAGGAGATCTGTAAGGAGGAGGGGAGAGGGTAAGGTCTGTGGGGAGATCTCACTGCGGTCGAAGGAGTTGTCGTGGCGGAGGATTTGGGGCTCGAATCATATATATATATATATATAATTCATGAAATATATAAAACATTCCAAGCAAAAGACTAACAGTAATACCCTAACTTATTCAAATCAAAGTCGTTACTCGTTATACACTTAGAAGTAAAACTACTAAAAGTTTATAAACTAAAAACACTACCTTAAATTATTATAATACTTAAAAATACTAATAAAACTCCTCAGTCTTCCTCATCATCCTCGCTGCAATCGGTGCCGGAAACGGCGTCAGAAAACAACGACGGTTAGCGTCAACACTGAATGATGGTCGGAAGCGGTGGAGTCAGAAGACTCAGAACTAGTAGTGTTGGGGAGAAGGCTACATTGGGGTGCCTAGGTTTAGGGTTTGGAAGCAGTGTATCATTTTCTGGGGATCTTTTGGGGCATTGATTGGGGGACTTCAGGGTAATTAAGCATTGTGGGGGTTGGTTCAGGTATATTATGCGCCAACATAATCATTATGCAGATGCATACTCCTTAACTTCTTGAATATGCGATGTGATCGCATAATCGAGCGGGTTTTAGCTACCCAACATAGAGTTTTTGAACAAGGAGTTTGGTTTTGGGTAGGAGTACTCAGGCGAGTACTCGGCCAGGTAGAGTGTGCTTTTGAACATTGAGTTTCAACTGTGTGGTCATGAGCAAACCTTCAAAGCAAGATGGATGTAGACATAGAGGAAAAATTGTAAATTATGGGTTGATCGTGGTCTGGTTCAATCTGCTTATGTTCATTTCCTGTATTTCTATGTCGCATCTTGAAAGGCAGCAATATGGATTTTAAATTATTAAAGATAAGATTTGAAACCATGACTGCTTGAAACCTAGTTGTCTAATAGGATCAAGGTTTTAAATATCGGTTATCGGGGATTTATCGGGCGGTCAAAATCCATATCGAATAGCGGATATCGGGGATAATTAGTATTTACTAGAGTGACATTACCAAATGGTGATATACATAATATAATATTCTAAAATGTAATCTAATCATACTTAATGAAATATAAGCATACCAAAATGTAAATAATTATGTTTAGGATCACTAACCAATGGTAGAAACTCGGGTTGGGTCGGGTTTAAAATGAATTGAATAGGTGCCCGTTGCCCAAAATCAAAACTCAAATCAGAGGCTGGTAATTCCGATTTTTGGGCCGACAATATCGGCCAATAACTCACTTTATCGTTGCATTATCGGCGATAAATATCCAAAAACGATAACCGATTTAGAATCGAACTTAACATAGTGGAAGGCCCCCAAAACCGATAAATCGCCGATAATATCGGTTTATAGGCCGATATTTAAAACATTGAATAAGATAGCAAATTATAGCCATAATATATCTAGTCTGAGATGCAATCAGCCCTTACAGCGAGTGATGCTCTTGGTCTTGAGTTGGTGGCTCACTTGGTCACTTGGAAGCTTGAGAAGGTTATGCCTTTACGTATTCTGGAGTCTCCTTGTGTTCTTTTCTTGGATGTTTTTATTCTTGATTCTCTTCAGTGTTGGCCTTTTCATTTCTTAGCAGTACCATCCTTGACTTATTATCCAGTTTCATCATTGGCCTGGATTTGCTGTTATGGACGTGGCTCTGAGTTTTGTTCCATCAACTTCCAGGTCCACAGTTGGCCAGTTTATGAGTCTAACTGTATACAAATTTATCCATACACATGTTAAGGTAGAGCAGATTAGTTTTCTTAATGTATTTAATACACATGTTAAAGTTATGTATTTTATAAGCACATGCGTTGAATGAGTTACTTGATGTCATTGGTAATTTTTCTGTCTTCGCTTTTGTGCACAATTTATTAATTTTGTACATTTTTAAAATATAGGTTTTTTAACCAGTTTATCTGTTCTGGTCATACTATGTCATCTAATAAGAACTGGATGCTTTATAATTTTTCTTTTTATTCACTTTCATGCACAAGTTATTATTTTATCCATTTTAAAATCTACTTTTTTAATCAATATACTTAACGTTCATACTTCGTGTTATAGTTGAGTCCGTCTATACCTCGTGGAAAATGTGAAGCATGTTCAAATTCATTTTGAGAACGAAATTGTTTGATGCCATCTGATATATTCTTATAGGTGTAGCAAATGTTAAAACTAGCCATGCTATATTATACTAGGTACTTAACCTCTGTTGTATGAACTTTTGTTTATCAATTTTTTCTTCAGGTTTTTGATCAATGCATTAAGGATAAACTGAGGAGCAAAACCCGTGTTCTTGTTACAAACCAGCTGCATTTCCTCCCAAATGTTGATAAAATTATCCTGGTTCATGAAGGTATGATTAAAGAGCAGGGAACCTTTGAAGAACTCACTAGTAATGGAGTGCTATTCCAAAAGTTAATGGAAAATGCTGGGAAAATGGAGGAGCAAATTGAAGAAAAGCCAAGTGATAACCATGGACAGGATTCTGTAAAATCCACTGAAAATGGGGACACCTTGAGGACGGAGAATGGCTTGTTGAAGACTGATAACAATGTGAATCAAGGGAAGGTAGAGAAGTCTGTGCTAATTAAGCAGGAGGAACGTGAAACAGGTGTTGTTAGTTTGAAAGTTCTAGCAAGGTAACACTTTGTATGATTATCTTATCTTTGCTTTTCCTTCAAGCACATTAATTGGTTGGTTGCTTAGAAAACTTTACTATTAATAGTTTACATGGAGAGGAATTAAAGTATATGATCACTTGTTTATACATAAGCCCTCAACAAAGGTAAGCTTGATTCCTCGGCTGATGCCTATGCTGCAGGGGTGCTTCATAAATGAGGATGTAGCAAGCACCAGATACATACCCGATACTTGGTGGATAATTATTAGCTTTCCAGTGCAGTTTTATGTACTAAGCACCAGATACATATCATATACTTGGTGAATAATTATTAGATTGCCAATGCAGTTTTAGGAGTAATAGGCTAGATACTTTGGAGATGTATCAGCGAGTGAATCAGTAATTTAGTGCATGAATAATAGGGTTCACAGTTCAATGTATTTGTGGATGCACACATGTGATAGGATCTGGTCCATTATAAAAAAAATGTAAATAGTTACTTTTTGGGTAGCTATTGAATACCTCAGTAGGTTATTTTTTATATGGCTTCTGTGATATACTTAATCATTTCGGTAATGCTAATTCATTAAACAGTTAGCTATGTATGTATGCATGAATATATATTTGTACATAGTTATGAAATATGAATTACGCGTGTCCAATGCGATGTACAAGTACCTGCAAATTAGGATTTGAACCATTCAGATATCTGTATTTCTTTTATTATTTTGTTACTGTATCCGTATCCAATACTGTTCTTCTAAGAGGAGAAAATTCTTTTAACCTTTGGACAAATCTTGATACTTCAAAGAGTGATTGCCCCTACTTTATCGCCTTTACCGCTGACGTCTAATGGAGATTTACAACAAATGAAAGGTGACCTGGTACTTAAAAAGAATTTGATGACTTGTACCTTTCTTTCAACTCATTTTAATCTTGTACTTAGTACTTAGCCATAGTCTGGTCCATAATATAACTTTCTATTTACACACAAGTACAAATATATATATATATATATGAACTTCTCACTCGCTTATAAACATGCACATACAAGCATAAAAAAGGACAAATTTCTCATTCACTCAGGCAGCAAAAGTTGAACATAATTCCTTGCCAGTTTCCATGAAAATATGGTTAATTAAAATGCATGAGAAAAAGATAATGAGTAACCAATATGCACAAACACGAAAGACTGCAAACTTCTCATTTACTCTGAAAGTAGGAGCAAACACGCCTATCCCACCAATTGTTCTGAAGATATGAGTTGGTCATAGTGACCTAGTGAAGGAGAATGAACGGAAAATAAATAAAGCCATCTGTAAGTTTGTCATGGAAAAGCTGTCAAGTCCTAACTTTTATATTGGATGTGAAGTTATAGTAAATCCCTATCTATTTCCATATACAAAATACAGGCATATATATTTGAAATTTGTGTTTGGTTATCTTTGTGCACGTGCACACCATAAGCATATGTACACAAGTTTTGGTTAGCGTTTCAATCTTTAGAAGTTTTTAACATATGCTACTCTTTCTGTCTCAAAATGTCAAGACTACCACTTTATTGTATTTAACATTAGATTCTGTGATTTTGGGAGACAACAAGATAGGGAACTTACATAAATCATAATTGTATCAATTTGTTGAGGATTATGAATGATTTGCTGCCCCATTCATTAAGCACACTGGATACTCAGATGAATCTGTGTGAGTTATTGAACTTGAAAGGCCAACACCAGCTGGCATCTACTTGTTAAGTCTTTGCAATTTATTTTTGCTTTGTCTATTTTCATCAGAATTAGGAAAGGAAGAATTACAGCTAATTTTCTTTTTTATATTTGCTCTGCTCTGTGATATTAGATTTAACAAGTTCATCTTTCTGTCTCTTGTTTGTACCTTGGCTCTAATATGTATCTCGGTGCTAGTATTCTCATTCTCATATTTTAGGTTTGCATGTCATTTTACCCTATATGCTTATTTTGTAGGTACAAGAACGCATTGGGTGGGTTTTGGGTTGTTATGATACTCTTTCTATGCTATATTCTTTCTGAAGCTCTCAGAGTTTCTAGTAGCACATGGTTAAGTATTTGGACAGATCAGAGCTCACCGAAGGACCATGGTGCTGGTTTCTACAATTTGATCTATGCCCTTCTTTCTTTTGGCCAGGTATTTCTAGACTGTAGGAGTTTGATATTTAATTATGTTCAAGACTTTTATGCCTACGGATTCAATCTATAAGAGGAACCTGAGGCTAAACTATCAATGTTTCACTTGTGTTCAGGTACTTGTGACACTGACAAACTCTTACTGGCTGATCATTTCTAGTCTTTATGCTGCCAAAAGACTACATGACGCCATGCTTAAGTCTATCTTACGGGCTCCGATGGTATTCTTTCATACCAATCCACTTGGACGGATAATAAACAGATTCGCAAAGGATCTTGGCGATATTGACCGCAATGTAGCTGTATTTGTGAATATGTTCTTGGGTCAAATCTCACAACTCCTTTCAACTTTTGTTCTGATAGGCATTGTCAGCACTATATCTCTTTGGGCCATCATGCCACTTTTAATTTTATTCTATGCTGCCTATTTATACTACCAGGTATGTCCTTTTCCCAATTAACTCTTACACTTGAAACTTGATGCAAGCTTCTGACAAGTGACAAATTTGATGGAATGTCATTTTTTCATTAAATTGATTCAATACTATCCAATTTCATAATCAAATTAAAAGCTTTTTTCTCAGAGCAATGATATAATTGCCAAACTTATACCATGTTCCCCCCCTTCTTAGAGCACTGCAAGAGAAGTAAAACGGTTGGATTCTATAACCAGATCTCCGGTGTATGCACAATTTGGAGAAGCGCTAAATGGTCTATCTACAATTCGTGCATATAAAGCATATGATAGAATGGCTGCTATTAATGGTAAATCCATGGACAATAATGTCAGATTTACTCTTCTGAATATGAGTGGAAACAGATGGCTTGGCATTCGGTTGGAAATACTGGGAGGCATTATGATTTGGTTTACAGCAACTTTTGCAGTCATGCAAAACCAGAAAGCAGAAAATCAGAAGGCATTTGCATCAACAATGGGTCTTCTTCTTTCTTATGCATTAAATATTACAAACTTATTGACTGCTGTTTTGCGACTTGCAAGTCTTGCTGAGAATAGTTTGAATTCTGTGGAGCGGGTGGGAACATACATAGAATTGCCTTCTGAGGCTCCTCCAATTATTGAAAGTAATAAACCACCTCCAGGTTGGCCATCATCTGGAATAATTAAATTCCAAAATGTAGTTCTTCGGTATAGGCCAGAGCTTCCTCCTGTTCTGCATGGTATATCCTTCACAATTACAGCAAGTGAGAAGGTTGGGATAGTTGGTAGGACTGGTGCTGGAAAATCAAGTATGCTTAATGCATTATTTAGGATCGTTGAACTGGAAAGAGGACACATTTTCATTGATGACTGTGACATTTCAAAATTTGGATTGCGTGACTTGCGGAAAGTTCTTGGGATAATTCCTCAAGCTCCTGTTTTGTTTTCAGGTACAATTTCTCCTGTGCTTGTAATATGCTTTTGATTGTCATCTGCTTACTTTCCCCTTTTATGCTCAAGAATTCTTCAGTACTTTTGTGACCAGCAAGAGTCAAGGTAAATTGACACCATTTACTGTTAGAATATGATACGTAGATGGTGGACATTAACTTGAGTTGTCCTTTTTAGGGCAAGGTTACTTTTGGATTTTTAATTTAAAGTAACAGGCACTATCCTTTTATATCACAATATGGTCTCCCTGCCAACAGCCCAACCCTCACACCTACACATGCACATGAACCCATACGCACGTACAGACACATACATACTCACAGCACACCACCTATTTGTCCTACCTGAAGAAAAGAGAAGTTTCCATTTCCTTCCTCAAGAGGTATTTTGGCGCAGGAGACCCTAAACGTCAAATAGTTTTGGGTATTGTATAGAGTCTATAGACCAGGGAAGAACAGCTGTTTTCAACTTCTAGCTTTTATTTTTATATTTTGGTTTCAAATTTTAGATTGCAGGCAGTATGACCTGTCTCATCTTGGTTGTTTCAATGGATTATGGAAGTTGCTGACTGTATTGTGTAGAGAATGAGAGAAGTCAAAATTATTATTCATCTAATCCTAAACTCTCTTAAATAGAGATTAGGAGGATATTACAAAATAGATACGAAATAAAATCATATTCAATCACATTTCTTAATATCTCAATAATATCCCATAATATCTCCTAAATCTAAATACTAATAATATCTAACACTCCCCTTTAAACTGGACCATATATTACTTTATATGTCCAGCTTGTTACAAATCAAAATAAAACAACGAGTTGCAGAAACTTTGACAATGTCATCTTTGTCCGAAATACTTGGAGACGTCAGCAATTAAAAAATATAATAACAACCAGTAGAAATCCTAGGCGGGTTAGCCAGGAGAAATCCTAGGCTAGTCAGATAGTAGAAACCCCAGGCGGGTTTGCTAGTCGAGAGAAACCCTAGTGGGTTAGCCAATAAAAAAAATCCTAGCCGGGTCAGCTACTAGATGCAACGTTGGAATCACCTATGTACTTTTGCATCCAACCATTAGGATATGACGAATAGAAATACTGTTCATGAGGTACAACACATGGGCTCACTGTTCATTGATGAACAGAACTCGTGATGAACAGTTCTTTTCCTGCTTTTGAGGTTAGGGTTTTTCATAGGTCGGGCTTATTATTATTATTATTATTATTATTATTGAGGTTCAACAAAGATTTAGTGAACAAATAGTGTAGAAATTAAATATGTTGAAGCTGCAGAAGATATCGTTGCTGTTGAGGGGAGCATGAAGGCCATGCAAAATCTCCTCGACGGCCTTGAGATCTAAAAATATGGGAGAAGTTGCTAGGATCTAATTGGCTCTGATACCATGTAGAGAAAAAAAAGACCAAGATTATCATTCATCTAACCCTAACCTCTCTTAAATAGAGATTAGGAGAATATTAAAAAATAGGTACGAAATAAAATCATATTCAATTACATCTCATAATATCTCAACAATATTCCATATTATCTCCTAAATCTAAATACCAATAATATCTAGCATATTGAATATCTTTTTTTTCCAGGTACCATACGTTTTAATTTGGACCCATTTAGTGAACACAATGATGCAGATCTTTGGGAAGCACTGGAGAGAGCACATCTAAAAGAAGTCATTCGAAGGAATGCATTGGGACTTGATGCTGAGGTATGCTGTTATAACCTTTCCCATAGTTTTCTCATTGTACCATGTGTTATAATTGTTTGGTTCAGAAATTGTTATTTTCTTTATCTTGAATCTATTACAACTTCAGTCGTTACAACAAACTCAAATAAATAAATAGTCGATTTTTTTATAAGATCTTCTTGCACAATGAAAATATAAAGATTACAATTCCTTTAAACAACACACAACATCAATTTATCTCCTATTGCTTGTGTGAGATCTTTGTATGTGTTGGGTTTTATCCGTGGACCGCCTACGGATCAAATCCGGTTGACAAAATTATTGATCAGAGCTCCCACTTCATGAAGAAAGCAATCGCTGAAGTATTGATCTCGACCAAGCGAAATCAATACTCTTCTCAAGATTAAGACTAAGCCTAATATCAAAAAATGGGGGTATGTGGCTTCAGATCTCTCGAATTACTCCTTTATGCCGAGATTCACCAAGATCTGTTAGTCCTCTCTAAAATTTCGTGGAATGCACTCACAAAACCAGCATCACCTTCTCCTGCCTCTGAAAGGAGGCCCTATGCTTGTATTTATAGGGCTCCGGATACGGGGTATTTGGATAAGAATGAGAGATTTGACTATATCTTCAGTCAATAACCACCTACCCACGTTTAGATATGATATCAAGTCAGTTGAGAACCTTTGGAACAGAAGAAACCGATCAAAACAACCTGAAAACGCGTTTTGAACGTTACGGGCATTTCTGGGCGCGGGTCATTCCCTGCTGACCCGTAGGGGTGCGGGTCACGATCACCTCAGTGTGACCCATACAGTATTTTAGCTTTAATTCTCATGTCTGACCTCGGAATGAGATGATTAAAGATGCGTCAGAAAACTGACGAAGAGACCTACAACTTTTATCTTTTGATTTTTTTCAGATTCAAATCGTATCATGGTCTAAAGTTCATTTCTTTGTGCGGGTCACCTCAGGGTGACTCGCATGTGTGCGGGTCAGTCTTTGGTGACCCACATGGTAATTTGGCTTTATTTCTCTCATCCGACATCGTAATGAGATGATTCAAGATGCATTAGAAAGCTGGAGAAGATACATACAACTTTTATCTTTTGAGTTTCCTTAGATTCAAATCGTAGCATGGTCGAAAGTTAACTTCTTTGTGCGGGTCACCTCCGGGTGACCCGCATGTGTGCGGATCAGTCTTTGGTGACCCGCACTGTAATTTGGTTTTATCTTTTTCATCCGACATCGTAATGAGATGATTCAAGATGCATTGGAAAGCTGGAGAAGATACCTACAATTTTTATCTTTTGAGTTTCCTCAGATTCAAATCGTAGCATATGGTCGAAAGATCTCTTATTTGTGCGGGTCGCCTCAGGGTGACCCGCGTGTGTGCGGGTCAGTCTTTGGTGACCCGCACGGTAATTTGCCTTTATCTCTCTTGTCCAACATTGGAATAAGATGATTTAAGATGCGTTGGAAAGCTGGAGAAGAGACCTACAACTTTTATTTTTTGAGATTTTCATTCAATGCGGGTCACACTAAAAATAACACATTTTCGTGTGGGTCACCTCGAAGTGAACCGTGCGTGTGCGAGCCACCTCGAACCCTCCTGATTGTATTTGTTCCGTCGTTTTACATGTTTCGTCGTTTTACATGTTTCGTCGTTTCACGTGCGTTCCTTCGCTTCTTTTTTTTAGCCTCAGATAATCTCGTTCGACTTAGATGATGACGTTTATTGTCCTTGCTTTGTCTCGAACTTCTTGCGGGAACCCATAGGTAATTTTTGATGCCTACAATAATGCCTGCACAGAGTTTGAACTTATGACTCTGAAACTAGAGCATGTTTCTGTAAAAGAAACAAAATTAGTCATTAATGTTTTTCATTTTGTGTGGGACAATTTGATACTACATGACCTTGTAGGTTATCTTTTGTCACAGCTTTATTCAGGGTTCTTTCCATTTTTCTTCTGTCTTAACCGTATAACTCAATCAATGTTTTGCTGTCACTTTGATATTAGTTTGGTGTAAAATTGTAAATGATTATACATGATCATAGTAAGCTTGATAAAACCCTATTAAATTATAATTTTATTTACTTACATCTGAACCCTATTAAATTATAATTTTATTTACTTACATCTAGAAAATAATTGTGCAAGATAAAATATAATTTCGCTTCAGTTGGTATAAGAGGCTATGTATTTTATTCTTGAGCATGTTGTTAGCGTTTCTGCATGTATACGTTAGTATGCGTCTCTGTCTGTGTTGCAACAAGCCACCTGCAAACCCTCGCTTCCAACCCCTCTCCCACCCCCATCTCCCCCGCCTTAACCCCACCATGACCCAGCCACTCATATGTACAGGTACATGTTTGAGTGTGTGGTTTGGGGACGGGGGATGTATATTCCAATAAAAGTGTATGGTAAGAACATCATCAGAACTCTATCATAAGTTGGTTTGAAACCTTGCTTTACCTTCATGATTTGGTTCCAAGTGACATGTCTGCTCAGCATTTGCGAAAAAGATACCTTTTTGATGCATGGTTTTAAATTTTCAAACCTTATTGATCTCTTGTTTCTGGACTACTTTGGATGTGTAGAAGATCAAAGATGAACTGTGCAGACCATGTAGAGGATGACCCTCTACTCACAATGCTTATTTGTGTGTGTGCACGCGCTCATTGCTGTGTCTTTATAAGTATGTTAATGTATGATTTGTGTTTGTACGTGCACGCCTATATAAGGTGCATGTATATGGTAAATATGGAGTTCATTTTGGTCAATAATTTGAATGGGATAGTCCTCTTGTGATGAAAGGTATTATTGTCCTTTGTTGAAGCGACAAATAGGTTATGGCTTCTTTTTCTATGATGGTGGTGCACTGATGTATTTTAACTTTTTGGCCCCAAGGTTTCTGAAGCAGGGGAGAACTTCAGTGTTGGACAGAGGCAGCTACTAAGTCTTGCACGTGCATTGCTGCGGAGGTCAAAGATTCTTGTTCTTGATGAAGCAACTGCAGCCGTGGATGTGAGAACTGATGCCCTTATTCAAAAGACAATCAGGGAAGAGTTTAAGTCTTGCACAATGCTCATTATTGCCCACCGTTTGAATACAATTATTGATTGTGATAGGGTTCTTCTCCTCAATGCTGGTCAGGTATATTTTCTGCCCTATATTCACTTTTTACCATGCTGTGTGTGCCTGGTGTTAACCGAGAATGGCCTTCTTTTGCTTATTAGGGTTTTTGCTGTAAAACCGATAGTTATATTTCAATATAAAATTCTATAGCATTATGGTTGATTTACTTGTGATGCGGATTTAAGGTCGCATTGATTTTTGACAATTACTCCTGGTAAGTTATTTAGTGTCTTCTTAGCAATTTACATCTTGGCTACTATTTGATGTTTGGCTGCTTAGCAGCAGCATGATATGTATTAAGTTGAAGGGAAATTTCAACTACATTTGATCACAAACAAAAAAAACGAAACACACAACTTTCTTCTACATGAACATTTTTCAAAATTCGATTTATCCTCTCTCTCGAAAATAATTCTCATATCTTCTCTTATCTCTTTCTCTATGTCTTACAATGTTTTCACTATTTGCTAATTTTTGTTCTCCAGCCTTCAGTCTCAGCTGCTTCTCTCTCAATTTCTCCTCTTATAAGTCTAGAATTCTCCTATCTTCACTCTTCAATTATTCTTTCAGGACATCCTTCTCACGTAGAAGCTTTTTGAGCACAGTAAGCTTGGGGAGGCAAAGGGTGATGTTTCCATTCAAAAAATTTGCACTTGGACACAGCTTGATAGATAGGGCAACCAAAAAACCAATAACCGTAGTTTTTTTTTGCCCTAGTAGTCTCCAGCGAAGAGATTTGGTTAACAGGGGGCGCTTATTGTATTTCTATATTCCTTCTAGATCTAAGGACTAAATTATTTTAACAAATATACAAAAATGGGAATAGATCCATAGGTTCGATACGTTGTTATAGAACTTGTGCTTTAGAGAAACATCAGATCAAATAAAGTTGATAAATGAAGCAATTCATTAACAATGCACAAAAAAAAAGCATCGACTTCCCTCCCATATTATGCATCTATAGTGTATGTACACACACACGTATGTATGCATGTATATGTATACACACACACACACACATACTATGTGACGCTCACATAGGAACATTCTGGGAATATTCTCGTGGTTAGATAACGTAAGGTATTAAATTGCAAAATTTAAAAACTTAAGATTATATATGCGCAACTAAAAACAAGTGAGGGTATATAAGTGCCAAGTAGGTAAAGTATGGGGTATTTAATTGCTAAACTGCTGTTAAAGCTAATTTGGCAAGAAAGATGTTACTGGCCACCTTGGCAGGACCCATAAATATGTTTTGAATTATGCTTATAGAAACAAAAGAACATCTTAAATTGCATTATCATGAACTTTTTAATATTTGACATCATGCTTTTAGGGAATCACGAGGTTTGCACTTGTGAAATGACAAGTATCAAAATGCTGCTTCTGGTTCTTGATGTGTCACCAACAATTGTTTGTCTTGAATTGTAGGATCCAGATTCCTTTGATTACCACAATTATGTTGCGGAAGGAAAACTAGGTAGGAAAATTTTATAGAGGTTTATGGTGCAGCAAAGGGGGGTATGGGTATGAACTAGTTCTAATTTCAATGGTTTCCCTGATATATTGTATATTAAGTTTTATATTTGTATTCAGATTCAGTGTTGAGCTATATACTTTGCAAGAAGACCATGCCTCTGGGTATGTGATATTTGAGTTTATGTAGGATTAGGAACGGAGAGATTGTTCACTTTTATACTCGCAATTTGCTTAGTGAATCTTTATCCCTCCTTTGCTCGTGACCTTAAGCCAAAGTCTGATCCACATACATCTGTGTCTTTTTTCCCCTTTGTCTTATTAATGTTTTTGTGTTTATGATTGACCAATTGCATAATCAGGGATTGCTGTAACAAGAATAATACCAATTTGCATGCATAGATCTGTGTCAGTTCACATGCATGATTAAATGTGTTCTCAGTTCCTTCGTTTGTTTGATTGGAAACTATTATATTTTAAGACTAACTATGGCTCATTATTTCCATGATTTTTTATGCAGGTCTTGGAATTTGACACGCCTGAAGATCTTTTATCAAATGACGAAAGTGCTTTTTCCAAGATGGTTCAAAGTACTGGAGCAGCTAATGCTCAATATTTAAAGGTATTGAGTTAATCCTACTGTGATTCAAGCTTTAAGAGTATTATATTTCTATTTTTGACACATGTCTGACACTAGGAATTATTCTCTTCTTTATATTTCATTTTAAACAGAATTTTTCACGCTAAGTTGAGGCTGCAGAAACTATTTCTTTTTCTACTGAATGCTATTTCAATCCATGGCTAAGCTAATTAAAATTCTGTAATAAACTGTAGATAAAATATGTATAGCTTGTTTGCATGTTCTTTATGTATAGCTTTTTTTTTGTTTTAATCGTAATGATTTCACTTCTTTACTCCAATAAAAAAACAGAGTCTAGTGTTTGCGGACAAATCCAACAAGGAAGAGACTGAAAGGCAAGATGGCCGAAGGAGATGGCTTGCCTCCTCCCGTTGGGCAGCTGCTGCCCAATTTGCACTTGCAGCCAGCCTCACATCTTCCCAGAGTGACCTCCGGAGGCTAGAAATTGAAGATGAGAACAGTATCCTCAAGAAAACAAAGGATGCTGTCATCACTCTGCAGAATGTTTTAGAAGGAAAGCATGATGCTACGATTGAGGAGACACTTGATCTGCACCAGGTCCCTAGAGATAGATGGTGGTCCTCTCTCTATAAAGTGGTTGAAGGTATGTATTATAGTGTTATATATATTTTTTAAATTGCATGTGATGTGTTTATATCCAGTAGAGAATGGAGGCCTTCATCTTGCATAATTGCAAGGTATTAGTTAGTGTACCTTGGATTAGAATAAATGATTCTAGGTCGTCCTGGTAATGTGAAAGTTTCCACCAGTACTTGCCTTGTTCACTTCAGGCATGCCTTAGATGATGTGCCTATATGATTATCTGCCAAACTGATATATGGTGAGGTATGGGGGTTCTCATCTGATGGTTCCCTAATTGTATATTATTTATCTGGCTTTAATTATATTATATTATACTGATAAAAAGAACCCCTTAAGTGCATTAGCAAGGTGTTGATTTCATGCCTGGTCTGCGTTGCTTGGTTTGTCTAGTAGAAAGATTATATTATCTTTAAACATAGTTTTGTGAGCAATACTACCAATATGTGAATATCTTTATGAAGGTTAATTGTGGAGTCATAAAAGAATATATGAAATTCGTCTTAATTGCAGATATTGTTTCAGTTTTTTGACTCAAATGTCATGCTTTATCAGGCCTTGCTATGATGAGCAGATTGGCTCGCAATCGGCTTGAACACCCACATTTCACATTCGAAGACAGATCACTTGATTGGGACCAAGTTGAGATGTAGAAGGATGAACCATAAAGTGATGTCACATTTCCCCCCCTTCCCCTTCCATGTATTTTGGGGCAAGGAGAAATATGGATATTTTTGTTAGGTTGTATGATGTATTCCCAACCCAACCACATCTGAAGCTGCATCATTACCTGCTCAAGTATTCTCTTGGGCACCAGACGGGTCAATTTGGTGGACCAAGAAGGTTTCTGCTGCGGGTATATACCTGTAGCTGGTAGGTACTGGCACCAGTGTAAACTGCAATTACAACACAAGTGAATTTAGGGTTGGGTTGGTGACAATCTGATATTTACTGCGATCATTTTAAGTTAAAAAAGCTATTGTTGTAGTCTACTGTGGTATTCTTCATCCTATTTTTGTTTTGATTATCTATTAAACAGTATAGCGTGACGACATTAATGAAAACAGTTTTGCCCGTTCTCTATTTTTTTTTCTCTTTCTTTTTTGTTGTATTACTTGCATGCATGATCAATTTAGGAAATGTGGCTAGCGGTTGTTTGATTTAGTTTTAGGGCGTAGCACCCCTTGTATTTTCATATGCTAAAAAAAAGTTGCCTTTTTTTCCTTCTTTTTTTGTGGTTGAAGTTGGCATCCGATCACTCGGCTCTCTTCGAAGTTGACATCATTTTCCATTTGCCTTGGTGGAATATTGATATTCATCTTACACAACGCCAAATTAGTGCGGAGTCTGAACTAAAGATGCAATAGGATATTTTTTAATATTTCTTCCTAAAATAAGCTCTGAAGCTGGAAGTAAAACAGGACCAACTCAGTACGAAATTAGTAGAAGAGGACGGACCAAGCTATGCTAAAGACTTGGTTGACTAAAAGAACAAGAAGAAGAAGAAAAACAAAGACATGATTAAGTAGAGTCTTAAGTTTGTGGATCCGATAAAGGTGAAATGCTGCCGAGATGGGCAGCCGTAGT